GCCAGGACGATTCACATTGGAATTTATGTCGGTATTAAAATTCACGTCATCTCCACTCACTATTTGCCTTTCGAATCCTAATGAGCCCACAAACGGTTTCGTAGGGTCTAAACTGTCCTCCTGTAAATACTCTTCCTCGTCGAACAATGCCTTTTGACTTTCAGGAATATTCCCCACATCCTCGTACAATAAAGGCGATTCGAGCTCATGCTTGTCACGATTCCATTTCTTGTCTCTCGGTATCAGCTTTTCGATTTCGGCGTTATTCTCCTCGGTACCGGTAACAGTTTCCTTGAATGGGTTTTTATAGGTTCGACAATCCCACAGCGATCCATCTCTGAATTTGATCACCTTGATTTTCATGATCATCTTCTGAATTTCGGCGATCAGTTCACGAAGCTGGAATCTTGAGGAAACTTCCTCGGGACATAACTCGCTGTTGAGTTTCAACCACCAATCCGGTATCCGACTTCTGCAGATCACTACGTAAAATAAATACGTAAAACTTTATTACGTTCATAAAAATTCTCTGACTGTGTGTGTGTGTGTGTGTATTGCGTGATAATGTCGAGCGTTGACAAGCAATGACAAGAAATGAAATCTCATTCGCGAAGTTGACGCGCAGACGAATATTTGTCGAAAGAAGTGAAAAACGAAATAATGTCGAAGCAAAACGTTATTCCTTATTCTACGCAGTGTACAAAATTCTTGAATCGTATTCAGTTATAACGACGCAATTTTTCCGTGTAAATTATTGCTCACGAAAGTTCAATAGGGAGGAAAAAAGAGAACATTGACGCGTACTCGCGTGAAGTTTTTTGAAATAAATTTAGCTTGGAGAGTAAGCTGTCATACAGTTTGATTGTTTACCATAATCGACGAAAAAGTTCCTTGCGCGTGAGGATAGCCAAGTAATTTCACCGGCTTGATTTTTTAGCGAGATATCGGAAGTTTCTGCTGCTGCTGTCGGTGACACTCGATTTTGCGGAGGTAAACTTTCTATCCTCGCGTCGCTTGGAACCCTGCAAATTTAAATTGAATTTCATTTTAATGACACCCATTGAACCTAGATAAATTAAAAACACGTAAAGGGATGAAGCCTTCGGACACTTTTAGCGACATCGTAATTGCCGGAAATGAAAAATTAACGCACGACGGATTAGTTTATTGCACTATCGTCAAGACAAACTCTCATTACGATTTTATGGACAACGTAATCCGCGAAAGTTTCGAGCACGAACTTCACGAGAAAAACGTGTTCCACACTGTAAGAGAATTATACAAATCGCATAATCCAATTTCCATAATTTTTCGACACAACTCTTTAGCACTCAACGTGTTTTTGAGGTGATACACTGAGTAGAATCAAGAATAAGACTCTATGTCTATTAACAGATAGCAAAATGTTTAATCAAATCGCGGAGAGAAATACGCTATTTCATTAAATTACGAAAAAAAAATTTTTAACCGGTTGGAGGAGTGGCATAGTAGCGACGTAATCGATATATTTTACGTATTAAAAAAAATCTTGTTAGGATACAATATTTCGGAGTTGTTCAAATTGAGCGTAATCTTGATTTTTCGTCAATTAATATTACCTTATTAATCTTGAAAGATTAAAACACACACGAAAATATTAAGGGTAAGATTTCGCCTGAATTTCCTTCTGCGTTCGAACATTTGTCTCGTCGTGACAAATTTTTGGATGCTCTCCACGCGGAAAGAAGTAGACTGCTGGATCAGCTCGGTTCTCGAGAACTTCGTGGTCGTTATTGTCGTTGCGTAAATCACGTCGTTTTTCTTTTCTCGAAGAGATTCGCGATAGCTACGTGACGATGGTTCGGTCTATAGTCATTCATGGTCTGTCCAGCAGTCTCCACCTCTTTCTATGCAGAAAGTATTTAAATATTTGTGTGGCGATGGGATAAATGCGTGCCTGAGCGCGAAAGATTTCGCCTCCAGGCGAAATGCAAACTTTACCTTTAACACTCTCATCTCGTAACTTTGTATTGAGGCTTAATAAATTTCCATAAAGATGAAAATCAAGTTTACGTTCTATTTGAACGCCTTTGGACACCGCTCGAAACAATTAGGGAACCGCTGCTTCAAATGCTTACATTATCTTCCAGATATTTGAAGTATACATTAAACACGCTTCTCTCTTATCAGCTATTTTAACTATTAATAACCACATTTCTTTAAGCCATTTAAATTCAACAGAATTATTCATTTAATGCGATCCTCTAATTCTTTCGAGCAGCGTACTTAACCTTTCCAAGACCCTTTTAATCCAATTCCCTTCTCCCCTTTTAGAGTAAATTACAAAGGGCGAACCGCATAATTAATTTTATATGTATACCTGCTTCCTCGTCTTTTATCATCGAAATCTGAATCTTCCACATATTGTCGCTTTCCGCTAAAAAAATTGGGACACACATTTTATAAACATTTCGTAATAATACTCTTAAGAATGTTAAATCGACTATTTTATTTGTAATGATCTAATATAAGATATAATCGTAAACACACGTGCAATAATATAAAATACATAATTTCCATAAATAATGATTTGAGATTAACATGAACCGAGTAAGAATTTTTTTTAGACTTACCATCGCTCAAAATCCCATCATTGGACAGTACTGTTTCTTGGCTATGCAGACCTTGTCTATCATAGACTGCGCCATGCACCACTGAAATATTAAGAAATGTTTCTGCTGACTCGAAATGAATGAGTTAAATTAATGCATCGTGAAATGGCGCACGTAGATTTTTCGTCAAACAAGATACTCCTACGTATCGCTTAAAAATGAGATTTTAAAAAAAGGTAACAAAAAAACGTTTCACTCGTTCTCTAGAATCAAAGGGAAAGCGCATATTGCAGGAAACATTCTCTCGCGAATGCAAGCGGATAGAACTATGTATGCGGGATGATTTTAGAATTGCACGTTATATTACCTGGAATTATCAAATTTGCGAAAATCGCGACGGCCACGAACAGCAAGAAGCGGGGGGCCATCGTGATGATCGTAGTAGGAATTCCCAGTAGCTTGTTAGCACTGAATAGCAGCGATTCCCTCTATTTATATCGTCGCTCGAACTGGCAATTATTTTTTCTCGAGATGACGCCCGCGGTATTAAAACGCATACGTACGAAATGAATTCGCAGACGATTATCTCGCAATAAATAAATTCCGTTTATTGCCGCGGGCGCAAATCGATGTAAGCCGGCGGAGATGCTGGTAGTGGTGTGTGATGGCGGTATATACGGTATTTCTTTTTATCGTCATATAACCCGTAAATATACGGCATACATACACGCCCGACTTGTGCACACGCACACGAAGAAACGCCGTCTCGTATGAGCGATTTAATTTCGTTTGCGACGGGCGATGCATTAAAACTCCACATAGAGAACGGCCACCCGTAAAAACACGCTTTATTTATCAGTGCCGTCGTTGCGTTGACGGTTTTCATTAAACCTCATAAAATATTGACTGTCGTCCGATCTAAAATTAAGCGAGTGGATCGGATAACGGCCGCCACCGTCGTCGGCGGCTCGTCATTGACGGTGCCTCCGCTCGAGACACCGGTAAAATTTGTAAACGATAATCTCGCAAAACATATGACGCGTTAAACTCGTAAATCGTCTAATGGAGACGGATGTAGTAATTTGTTGGAATTAACGTTGCGAAATGATTCGACCGCGAGCCAGGTAATCGCGGTGACGGTTGTATGATATAGTTTTCAGGAAATTAATATTGTCATTAGCGATACGTCGTCATTTTAGAATATTGTAAGAATACATACGTGTAATCGATCGTCACGTGAATACGGGATACAGCGAAATTATTCGATTCTGGAATTACGCTTTCTAGATGAAGCTGTTGATCTAACATATACCTGCTTAAATTATGCCATATCTTCTTATGTTCCTTCCTATGTAATTCGTAGATAAACACGAGTAACTTGGAAGGAATTGCGTGTCAGCTAAAGGATCGCAAGGACGGAAAAAGATCAACATGGTCGAATTATTAAGGATTTCGCAGAAGCACGAAGGATAATTTGCGTGCCGCGACGCAGGGAAGCTCGCGGGGTTATACGAGAGTTTAGTCATGCGCCTGTGTATACGCCTCCGGCTTAATTGTAATTATAGCACGCACGTAGCGTCACGTTTCCCTGTTATTTCGTTTATTCTGCTTAGACACCGCGGCCGATGCGTCGCCTCGCCGACCGGCCGCGCTGGAGAGAGCAGTTAACGGCTGCAACTACCGAACGAGACGTCATCCCGGAATTTACGAGACGCCGTGATTTTACGGCAACATTTTGTAATTCGCAGTTTTACGCGACCGCGCTCTATGCCCCGGCAATTTTCGCGCTGTGCGCGACGCCCGCCGCGCCAGTTTCGGACAGTTAACTGTTTTCGCAGCCGGTCAGCGCAAGATGCGCGCGATAGCAATTGAAATTTGTGCGCTAGTAGCATAAATTACAATTTCCTTTTATTTTTTTTCATAGAAGATACTTCGTGAACGGAAAAAAATCGAATTCCGACCGCAGTAGCTGGCGCGATTGGCCTCAATTCGACCGAATCGATTATCGAGTGCGGAATATCCGCGCGCTCGCTCGGGAATATATTTAGCCGGATACAAAGATTTGCTTTCAGAATTGAGAACGCGAATCTGGTCGGTAATTAACGAAATAATACCGGGAAAGTAATATATTTTCTCAAGACTCTTAGACTCTAAAACTATATTAATAGTCGTCACTTGAAGCATGTCTCAACTGAGATACTTGGATTTGAATTTGAAATTCGGTCTGAACTTTCCAGTATATAAATGTCACGTGTATCGTAAAATTTCAGTAAAAAGACTCAGATCTAACTCAAAATTCAAGTCCGAGTGTCTCACATGAGATCAAGTTTCAACATTAAATGTTGATAACGGCCATAGTCGCGCTAGGAAGAATGAAGCAATGAACGAGCGCTACCATTTCTGTTTCAGCCAACCATTTTCGGGACGGTGGCCTCGGACCTGAACCCCAAGGACGGGAACAGCCGAAAGGTGAGTTTTCGCTCTCGAGATCTGTTTCTAATCTTTCGTGCCGGGAAAAAGCGATTCGAAGGCGGCGTCTAGCCGGCCCGGAGAGGGATTTTCATCTTTTCACGCTACATCACCCCGGGGATCCTTCCGGGGCGCCTTAATGAGTAAAAATTGCTGCTAAGTCGCTCTGCCTCGGCTAACCGCTCCGAAATAGAGCGGCTGGCTGCTCTAATTAAAAGTAACAGCGCTACCAAGTGGTCCGTCCACCCCGGGCGGGGGGGTTTCCGCCCCTTCGGAGCCCTAACGCACTAAATCCTGTAAACTTTCCCTTTTCCGCTTACGCGCAGCCATCCCCCGTAATCGCGGAATCATGCATAATGAGCGTGCATAACTACACCGCCGCCGAGGACGCCGCTTAAGTTAAACAGCCTGAAATGCGCTGTTTGGAAGTTTTATCGCGAATAACTGCGCGCGACGGGTATATAAATTATCACCGGCCGCCGTTTAATCGGCCGATTTGCCGGCGAACGGCAACGAATTGACGAATATCCGATGGGATCGGGCGTTGTCATTATTTCGTCATGCGTTTTTGTTCGCGGAATACATAGACCCTCGACGCTTGAGATCGTATCGAAAAACGGGAGAACGAGTCTGTCGAAAGAGAGACGATGGATTACACGTTCCCGTGTACGTTCCGCGTGTAGCGAACGGGTATTCGTATTCCTGACCCGTATACAATCGGCGTAATTAACATTTCCGCGAACGGTAATAATTTAAAGATAAATAACAATCGCCGGACGCACCATCAGCTATGTATTCATGATAATTAAACTGACCACGAGCGATAGTACCGAATACGGAGATTGCAATTCGCCATTATACGCCGGCCGTGCACCTAGTGCTGTATTATCAATTAGTCCAATTAAGTTTAGGCCGACAACAATGAGGTGGCCGGCGGCTCGATACAACAGCGAAATTTAGAATAATTCGCGAAACGATCAGACACCGTCGAGGACTCCGTCTCAATCCTCGCGGCTGGAAGGAGGACTTACCGCGTGAGTTTATCGCGACGAGCGCACGAGTCCGGTCTCAAAAGTTCCCTTGAAACTCCGTACACCGCGGCGGCTTAAGCTCCGTATTGAAATTCCTAAATGTTTCAAAGCTGGACTTACACCGCATTCGAAATAAGCGGCTCACATAATACTCTACTTAAGTATGAATGGTGTATACGATGGCCGGCGGCGGAGGCCAGTCCGCTGATACAATCCTTGGGTGTGTCGGTTATATCGAAGAATTAATTACAGCGCATTCACATGCGGGGAATTATTAACCGGCCTCCGCTTGATCGCGGGGTGCACGCTGATCATCCCCGTCAGGTGGATCCTAGGCGTATATACTTTATTTCTGTGAGACAAGCCCCGCGGAACATCCCGTAAAGTAGGACTATAAATAAGACACGCTAATTGTTAAATTAAAGCGGATAGGCATTTTGTGCCGAAGGCTTGGGGCGAAATCACGTGATCACGTCGGAATCCCTGGCCGTCTCTCCGCTATTGACGTCGCCGGATCGTTTCGAATTTACATGTTCACGCGTTGTGATTGCAACCGCGACATGGTGATACGATCGCGCGGGGCAGATTTCGCCGCGATGCGTTTACCGCACGATGGAAGAGTAAGCAGGATGGCAGTCGCGGCGCAACGCGATTAATACGAGAGATCAGTGGTGGAGCAATTTCAGTTCGATATTTCGCGACGATGGCCGCGAAAAAACTTTTCTGTACGCACGCGCTCCAAAAGAGAGTCGCATGCTTAGCACGTCTGAAAAAACAACGTCGCCCGCTATTTCGCGCCCGCTATTTAATCGCGCTCCCCCCGCCACCCTTCCCGCCCTTGTCGTGCGCGAACTTAATTTATTAACGCGCGGGGAATACTTTGGACCGCGCAACGTCGCGGACGGGTAATTAATCGCAGCCTCTGTTAATGCACCTGTATTAATGTATATGCCAATTGTATTCGGTGGTAGCCGCCCGATGTATGTATCGTGTGCGTGCCTGCGTGTATGCGTGCAACGTACAGATATAGATATACAGCGCGCGGCATAAATCTATCGTAAGTTACGAGCGCGGGGGTGTAATTTTTAGCGCGCTTACCGAACGATTCGTAAGCGGCGCGCGTCGGTGTTTTATCATCGCGCGAACATAGAGAATAACGCCGTTCGGATATCGCAATCCCCGGTAAAAATGAGCCTGTACGAGCGCTACACGATAATAGAGACCACCACGGTACGGTATCGATTCTCGCCGGTCTCGATCTCGGTCTCGCGTTCTTGAGCTTAAAAGATGCGCTTTATTTCTGATATCCCCAGGTATGCGGACATAACAGAGAACTCGGGGTAAAAAAAAATGTATATATATATATATATTCGCTGCGGCGCAAAAATATTTCGCAGGTGCGATCGTCTCGCATACGCGCGAGTGATTTGAAGCTTCGAATTTTTACCTTTGGCGGAGTCATCGCGCGGATAAAGAGCGGGCCAATATCGAGAAAACGGGAATTGAATCGAACGGGAACATTTTCATCGCGTTTATTGATCCTTTCCGCTCACAGACCCGAGCGCGCGTACGAATAATTTAGCGCTGTACAAATTGAAAGAAACATGAATCCAACAACGTCGCGTCTTATTGCGTTCTCTGTCGTACGATCGTTGTTTTTGACGCGCGCGCTTGGTAAGAACGAGGAAGACGCGCTCTGTCTTATCTTCGAGTGAAATTTTCTAGCGTGATAAACACATACATGCACACGCGCGTCCGACTAATTGTTCGATCTAATTGCATGGAGTGCGCGTCGTCGTTGTGTCGGAGTATTTTAAGCCTCTGGCGCGCTCCTTGCTCTCGCGCGACTGCAATTTTCTCTTTGCCGCACTGGCGAATTTTCGTCGTCGGCGATTCATCGTGCGCCGCTCAAAGCGCCTTTCTCCCGCGGTCGCATGAGGGTCTCCTGTGTCGCGAAAATCGCGTCAGTCGCGAGGGATTCTTTTATCCTTGCAGAGACATAGGCACCGACGAGATTGTCGCGTGGTGTCGGATGAAAATAAGAGCGGGTGGGGGGAGGGGGGAGCGACGGGGTTAGAGATGAAAAGAAGAATGAGAGAGTGGTGCGCGTCGCGCGAGTGATGCACAAGGAATTCAATGAAAGATTTCTGTCATATTTGCCGGCGGTAAATATCGCTGATGGCAGGAAACGAGTTACCGGCGCTTGTTTGGTCATGAATATAAATGTCTTCCTTGCCTCGATTTTACATTCGCATATGATAAATAGGAAAGGCGGAGAGGCGAGAGGGAGCATGAAGCGGCGCACACACGGGTTCTGCACTTGTGTCAATAATGCCAACACTTAATCTCGCGTTCTCGACGAGGAATCATGTATGAGCTCGCGTTGAAATTTTCGTTACGTTAATCTCGCAAATTCCATTAAACTTGAAAGATCAGTGGAGAACCTCGAGATAAAACATAATACAAATTATCGTCCTACATTTGACGCTACCGTGAGTGGTTACTCACGGTTGTCCCCTTCGATGATGAAACTTGAAGAGCGACTTGCTTCAGGATTATTCGATATTACATTATCTGGCGATTCTATCTGCATTTCCAGTCTCTTCCTACTTTCACAATAAGCAATGTATTAATTCGAAGAGTACGAACTTGCAAATGCTGTAGACTAATGTCTACGTATATTTTATTCAGAAAATATTGAGAAATGTAAATGAATGGATGTACCGGACATTATGTAGTTAAAAAATTGTATAACTCGAAGCTTCGATATTTTCGAAATTCCAATAATAAATATCGAAGCTTCGGAGATTCGGAGCTTCGAATGTCAAAGCCTTCGAGAGAAAACACTAGCCTTAACGGAAAGACGACGTTGCCGAATTCAAGATAGGATTTGCGGAATGTTTTGATTCGACCGTTCATTGTTGTGATTGTCGAGCGCCGACGGTCGGCAACATGTTTTTGCTCTTCTTGCCTTTGTTTTGGTACTCTCGCATGCCTTTCCGCGAGTCGTTACGTCGCCGTTATTACGAGCTAACGGACACATATCGCGACGCGGAGCACTTTTATCGGTTCTTCATTCCTATCGACTCTTCAAGTATTCAATCGAGCTTTCGTCGGCGTCGCATTTACTCATCAACACGCTCGAATCGTATCTACGCAAGTGTCAGTGCCAGTGTCACGATGAAGTACCCGGAACAGTCGCGAGCGAGACGCTGAATCCGGAAGCTAATGCAGAGGTCGCGGGTCGCTGGCAGCGATATGTCATGTATTTCGAGGTGTATGTCAAATCATTCATTAAGCGTGTCCGATTTTAACGGACGTTTGACGATCTTGCCGAGAATAATGAAATAGAGTCGAAATTTAGGCCGACATTCATCGTCCGCTTTGTGACTAATTATAGCAACGTTTTATAAATAATTATAGCTGCATAAATTTCCGATTATTTGATTTCCCAATTATTTCTCGTCCCGATCATTATTATCCCGTACTGGTGCCTTCAACAAGAATTGTTTATCCAGACAAATAATTGTTTATGAATAATTACGAATCCGTAATTAATTATGCTCTCAATAAAAAATTGCAAATAATTTACGAATAATTGCAAATAATTTACAACTATGAATGCCGGCCTTGGAATTTAACATAAATCTCGCAATTGTTCATTTTTACATCTAATAATGCTCCTCGCGTATTTTCTTTTGTATATCATTAAACATATTCTCCTTATCGTAACGAAGTCGTATTCTTTCATTTCTACCTGCGCGTTATGAACTACAAGATCACGGCCGTGTCTCCGTTGCTGGCGTCTCATGGATTTTAGCATTAAGATAACCGGCGAATGCGCGTCGAAATCTTTGACGAGAATAAACTCCCACAAAGTCAGTTAGCCTCGTTTAACTGTAGGTAGTTATTAGTGTAGTTCAGCGGCACTTTGATGCTCGTGTAATTACGCAATATAGGCTTGTGTAG